ACCAGCCTACAGGAGATCGACCGCCTTGTGCGAACGACTCTCACACAAGAACGGGCCCACCACCCAATATCCTCCAAAGCTCGTCTGTATTTACCTAGGAAAGAAGGAGGATGTGGTTCGCTAAATATCGAAGAAGCTTGCCACAAGCAGGAAGCGGCCCTGCGCCGATACTTTCTTACAAAAACAACTGAGGTTTACATCGCAATCTCAAGATTGGATTATGGTCTAACCGCACTTAACCTGAGCAATCGTGAGGTCTCTACAATCGTGTCAGACAATGAACGGTTGACAGAATGGAAAAATAAATCTCTGCATGGAAGATTCTACAGCAAATTAAATAATAGCTCGATTGACAAGGAAATATCCATTGAATGGCTGAAAGCAGGAAAGATATTCTCCGAGACAGAAGGATTTCTACTTACAATCCAAGACCAAGTTATTGCTACTAGATCATATAGAAGGCATGTTCTTAAAGACGCAACAACTATGGATAAATGTCAATTATGCTCTGCGACGCTGGAACAATCCAAGATATCACAGGTGGATGTGGAGTGTTAGCTGGCACCGAGTATCTCCAGAGGCATAACAATGTGGCTAGAATTTTTCTTCAGGCTCTGGCTGTGAAGCTCAACTTGTTAGATGACAAAACTCCATATTATAAGTACCACCCAAATAAACTCCTCCAAAAAGGTAGTCTCAAGTTCTATTGGGATGAATCGATTATAACTGACCATACTGTGCGTCACAATAAACCAGACATCCTTCTGATAGATATGAGAGAGAAAAGAGTAGAGCTTATTGAAGTCGGGATCCCCAATGATAATAATATAAGCTCCACTGTTGGAGAAAAACTGAGAAAATACCAGGAACTGGCAATCGAAATGAAGGAATTATGATTAAAAGTTGACTGGTTAAGAACCAGGACTTGCTCAGTTTGTCATAGTATATCTAAATTTAATTTGAATAATACGGCTGAGGTATAGTTGTTATAAATAATATAAAGACATTAATTATGATTTCGAATTGATACATTTTAGATTGATCCAATTTTTTTAAATGTAATGATTAAATTTTAGAGCAGTTTGAATTATCCATTGAATTATATGTAATGAAAACAGTATTCTTTATCAGAATAATGAACAAGTATCAAAAATATTTTTGTTTCCAAAACTGATGTCAGATTTGTTTTTAGCACTATTAAAATTTTTTATATTAAACATTTTGGGGATTCAGTCAATATCTCAATTAAATACTCTATAAAATTTAAATTTACTCTATTAAATTTGTTTGTTGATAAACTGAAGATGATAAATAGAGCTTCAATTCAAACCATAATTTCGTGATGTTAAAAATTTTGAGTCACTAAACTTAATTTTTTTTTCAAATATTAATTTTGAAATTTTTAACTCTTAATTTTTAACTCAAAATTGTATTGAGCTGCTGAATCAAAACATGTAAACTATTTTTGTAATATGTTTTTGGCCCAATTACCTCCTTACACACCTGTTGGCCTAAATACATTACTCACATACCAAGTACTGAACCCAAGACCCTTCAAAGATTGTAATGGTAGAAGTTTTTTGCTTTTTAAAAATAAGTTTCAACTTTAAGAATAAAACAATCCCAAAACCATTCATGGAAAATTACATCTGTAACCCACATGTTTTATTGTTTAAATGCAAAAAGTTGTCCTTGTTTTCATTTTTCAAAGCTTAAAGTTTCAACAATCTGTTAACCATAAGTGGCTTAATCAAAAGATCTCTAGGTGCTTCAGAAGAAAGAAGTAAGGAAGCTCAATCTTTTGCGCCCTTAACCTGGGAGAACTCACAAGAAATACTGAGACTTGAGAACTCGCACATGAGATTTTCTCTCAGACCGAAAGTTTTTGGTTTTTACGTTTGCGTGTGTTTCAATGCCCAAACACCAAATACTGTTATTATAATATTTTTGAAGGGTAAAGAAATAAATAAAACACAAAGCAAAGTAAAAAAGAATATATTGAATTAAATTATTACAATATATGAATCAAAGAGTTTATATTTAAGTGATTATTCATATTATTAGGTATACGTTATAAAATCATTTGTCTTCACCATAGCAAGTCGGGCAGGTATGTCCCGTATCTGTCGGAAATATGGAAATTCGACAAACATTTCACTCTTTCTTTGTTTGACTGATTTTTCTATTTGCGAAAAAAACACAAAATCCTTGTCATATTGTATTTTCTGGAATTTCTTCTTCTTACACTTCCGCAATTCACTTCATTGTTGCACAATCCACAATGGAAATATTTGAACATCTTACTATATGCGCTTTCATTAGACTTAGGGCTAAGGACTTAAAACATAATCTTATTTCCATGAAATTGGAGGTATTTGCTTTGTAAATAATGAAGCTGTTGATCCCTCCAACATTTAAAAATGAAAAAAAACAACAAAGTAAGTGGCCATCTACAGCTAACCCTGGCAACAGAATAAATGGCTTTCATTTCATCCACAACGTTGACTCCTCTTTTGGCAAGATTATAAAATGTTAATATTTTTGGGTTTGCAAAATCTCCGGTAGTTTCATCACTATTATTGTCATTGTGTAAAGTGGACAATTATAGCACTATTTTTTTTTTTGGCTTTGGCTTTATATGAGATCAGTGTTTCAGATTTCGTGAAACAAAACATGCTTGTATGAACCACTTTAATTTCTGTCTCAAGAAACGAAGGAGGAATTTCTCTTTAGTTTTTCCTCAAGGTTCCAATTAAAAGTTTTGCTTGAAAGTAAGGCTTTCACAAGAGGCATGAAGGTAAAATAATTATCCATAGTAATATTCCTACCAATGCCCAAAATATTATTTGCTAATTGATTACTTCATTAGCATTATTAGGCACTCTGTAAGGTTTTTCAGGTTGATGGCCACAATAAACCTATGTTGCTGGTGTAAAATGTACGAGCATCGACCCGAGCAAAAACTTGCCGTATTTTACGAGTTTGCTCGGTATGTATTGTCAAAACTACACTATCCTCTAAACAGTTCCAATATTTCATCCATTGTTGCGTATTCACCAATTTGATAATCGTTTTTACATAATGATAAACAGCTCACCTTTCATTTTGTGCATACCTAATGCCATTTCCACTAGCAATCTAGAGTAGGGCAACATTTAACATTCTAAAATTACACAAAGTAAACAACTAGCATTTCAATGGAAAATATATATGATGCATTTGCATGTATAGAAAAAGTCTCACCAGACATGGCTTTTGGAGAACGACTGATCGCTGTGAATGTCAAAATCATCTTACTGCCTATGAAGGTAATCGATGTATGCCTTTATGACTATTAATTGTTCTTAAATAGCTAGCAGGAATCCTTCTGGTTTTGGAAAGATATTACTATTCTTCATCCATGTCAACGATGGCATAACATCCCTACTACAGCTAGACAAACCGAGATCCCTTTATCTACCTTTATTACCCATTTACAAACGTTTTACTCTGTAAGCAGAATTTTAGCAAATTCTCCCAGATTAAAATTAAAGTGGACTTTTTACTTTATTATATATAAATTATTTTTGAAAACAGGGTAGTTTCAACTGCTTTATAGTCTTTAATCCATAATATTAAAGCATCTTTCATTTGTTCAATTGGTGGATTGTAAACTATTTTTTCTTATTTGAACTTTTTTTTTCGCATAACCTCCTACATCACTATTTCTGGCATACAGGGGGTTGTTCTAGAGGTACAACCAAACCTATTTTAACCAGAGTGGGAAGGTCAAGATTCATACAGTAGATCCCCCAAACTAGAAATTTCAACTTGTCCAAGCTGGATTCGAACCAGAGTTGCAAGATCTGAGAATATTAAAGCAAGCAGAGCTTCAACACGCTGGACCATCACGGCCTCTTCTGATTTGAAACTGTAGAACTCCTTATTTTGTCTTCTGATGTTTTGATGGAGTGGACAATCAGCCATCGTTGACATGGATGAAGAATAGTAATATCTTTCCAAAAACGGAAGGGTTCCTGCTAGCTATTTAAGAACAATTAATAGTCATAAAGGCATACATAAGGTATATATGTGGAGAGGGTGTCAGTGACTTATGTCGCTTATGCAAAAAGGCAGTTGAGTCTATAAAACATCTTGTTGGGGTGTACAATACTTGCAGATAAGAAATATTTGCAGACACGTTAATGCAGCTTAAGTTTGCACAAAGCCATGGCTGAGATGGAACTCATGGATAATACCTATTGTCCATGTTATCATCCCGAGCCAATCATCTGTAAGCGCAATGTAAAGCTGTAATGATATCAATCGTTACTAATAAATCACAACATCCTCCACAATAGACCTGACATTCTTATAGTAGACAAAGGAAAGAATCTGAATTTATCATAGAGATTATCATTCTTTCTGTTGACAACCTACACAAGGTAGCAGCAGAACAGAAAAGATTAGCAGAAGAGATAAAGTAATTGTAATGTTTAAAGGAAAGTTATATTCTACCCATTGTAATCTCATGCAATGTTCTGATACCGGAGGAAATAATTGATGATGAAGTACCACTGTACAAATGTCACTCACTCTCGTCCAATGGGCCCAGATCTCATATTCACAGAGTAAATGGGATTCTGAGGATTGACATTTCACAGTATAACTTACCTTTATTTAGATTATGACTTATGCAAACTCCCAGCTGGTCCTTTTCAGATAAAATTGGGGCGTTAGTTAGTCAGTTAGTTTTATATAAATTGCTGCTTTCAACACCAGCTCGCTCTAAAGGAATAAACAAATTTTTAACAGTCCTTATCAGTTAAGGTCAGGGCTGCACGAGAAGGTTCAATTGCTTCCGTCTACTTGCAAACACACTTGATCATTCTCAGGTGGATTTAGTGTGATTATGAGATCCTGCATTCATGGAATTGGAGTGATGTTTGTATAGCAGTACCAATATTAATAATAACTATTTATGTCATAATAAAATATATAACGAAAAAAAATTATTATACCTCTCTTGAAGAAAAGATATTGAGTGTGCAATATATTCTGAACCATATTCAGACTCCAGGAAGTATTTTTGTGGATCAGGATATTTCTTAGCGAATGTTTCAACAGTAAAGTCATCTTTATTTTCAACAAAAGCTTTTGAAGAACACGGTTGTTGCTTAGGATATTTATTTTGTAGCATTGTGTTCACTAGAAAATTATTAAACCCCTCTTGATCAAAAGCAAATTGAATACATTTTGATTCAAGGAAACCAGGTTCCACTTCAGGAAACATTTCGAAAGCGAACTTGAAGTAATTTTCAGCCTTTTCTTTTTCTAACTCGTCCAAATCAATTTCGACTTCCATTTTTCCAATACAAACTCTTCAATTAGTCCAACCAATAAAATTTTGAAAATATATATTTCTTTAAATTTAATCAGCTCAATATTTCAGAACATATCATTAAGGCATGACAAGAACATGATTAATTACATAGCAACTTTTAACTCGTGGTTGGTGTATGAAGTTCCAATCTTCTCAGTATTGCTGAAACAACAAAAATTAATTATTATATTCTAGGATTGTTCGTTTGTTTTTAATCTCCTTCCCCCATAAAGTAACCCTATACAAGGGCCATGTATTTGTTAATTTGTACATGTTCCGTGCATTAAGTATAATACATATAGTAATCAACGTATACTCTAGGTTTGCAATAATAAAGGATCTAATTTTGCTGTTTATTGTTCATGGCACCCAATATAGGAGAAATTTATTTAAATAAAATGTGATTTTATTTATTCAGATCCATAAAACTAAACTGTTTTCGTTATTTGTCATAAAAGCTGCTCAGCTTACTTACTTTACCTGGATATTACTATTTATCTTGCATCTCAAATCTTATACTATTCTTGTATAATTATAATTACTCAAACAACAGAGTGGCGCAATCAGTTACATATGTGAAAATGCCTTAATCAACAACAGAAGAAACATTTTGAATAATACCATAAAAATTACATCAATAGTACATTCTATTAAAGTATATTTTAATCAAATAAAAGAAATTAAGGGAATTTGTGAAATCTAGACAATAGTAGGGGTGTGATCAATAATAAATCATGTTTTATACTTTCACAAGTCATCTTGTTCTGGGATTTGAAAACAACAAAAGAGACTAAGTAAACACATTAGAGTTAAGATCAAAGAAGAATAAGTACAGAGGAAACATGACAACAGTAAAATAGAATATATAAATATAGAAGATAAACAAAACTTAATGAAGTTGTAACAAGGTACTTATTGCTAGTAATAGCAAGAATCAAGGCGGGGTAGAATATTAACAATGTAAATTAGTATAAAACGAAAAGTTAACTCTGTGTTAAGCAGAATAACAGCTGCATTAAAAGGTAAACAATAAAGAGAGGTATGAGAGGTGACCAACCAAACTTACCTGACGGGATTCGAAGTAACCACACCAGAAGGGAAATGAACTAGAATTTGTCACCAGTGAGGAAAAGGAGGGAAAAGAGCTAGGATTATACACCGCTTTCTAGTGGCAACTATACGAATGAAGATTTTAAAGTTGTAAGGTTAAAAGTCTTTTCCAGTAATAGGAGTTGAATGAAAACTAATTGGCCTTTTAAATAATGCACACAAAAAAATGATCAAGAAGGAATTGACAATAAAAATGATGGTAATAGTGAGGTAATACTATCGAACCTTGGCTCGATAACCGCCCACGATCGCACTCGAACCTGACTTCCCAGAAATCGAGACAAGTTGACTTAATGCAATCGATGTATTTCGATATTTTGGTTAAATTACGCACCTTTTAAGGAGATTATATATTTGCCAATCATATTAACTTTTTAAAAATATTTTTAACCATAGATAAATAATTTCCTGTTTCAGGAATTAAATAAACTCATATTTAATCTGTCTAATAGCCAATAATAAGAATAAGGACCGTCTAGTATTTTTATTATGTATTAGTAAGGACATAATGTTGAAATTCGTATATATGGGACAGAAACGTCGCTAGGAAGGGGGAGAAGGTGATCGGTGCCGCCGTCTTTTTGGGTTACCTTTTAATAAGTGAACAATTAACAAATTTTGATAAATGAGGTTTTTCCTCCTTTATAATGCCGAAAATAAACTATTCTGTGTGTTTTAAGTTGAACAAACGTTCAAATTAGTAATATAGAAATAATGTATCAAACAACTTCTTTGTAAAAAAAAATCTACAATTTAGTCATAATCCTACAACTAATTTAGTCAATCACATAAGTAAGAAGCTATGAATTAAAACTTGGCTATATGTCATTTTAGATATTTGATCATAGGTACAGACTTTGGATTTTGATAGGGGATACTTGAAAATATCTATTAGATTAAGATAAAGGGGGAGAGAGGAGACAGCCTTCATAACATTGATACATCTTTATAACTCATTAAGCTAAAATGAATAATGTAAAAAAGTGAAAAATATCGTTGATTTCTTAGTGTGCACAACCTCAAATAAAAATTTGTTTTTCATAGTCCGACTGGTTTGCTGTGAAAAAAGTGATAAGAATATCGCGTGAAAATTGAGAGGTGATTGAATCATAAAATCCTAGGATATATTAATATATATACTATTATCTTTTTATATAGTTGATTTAAATAAAAGTATTATTTAGGTATTAATAAAATAGTTACATACCTACACCTAGGTTCTAGCCTAGCCAGCTAATCGACTTAGTTTACACATTTTATTCATTCGGGTAGCTTCCTAATTATTGATTTTAATATTTTTTTTTTACCTCAAATCATTGGGGGGAGGGGCGAAACGATATTCTTGCCCCCTCAACATTTTTATTAGGAGGAATCAATCCCCCTCACTCCGAAGTCTTCGCCTATGTATTTGACGATGAAAAAAATCCATCTCCATTGCCAAGGACCTCTGCTTGTTAATACCCGATTTCAACTGAAAAGGATGCATTGGAGGTTTATTTCCTTGAGTGACAGTCCAACTGTTGTGATCTAATTAAAAGTTTGAATACAGTGATGGATTGAATAAACACTAATAATTCCAATTAACCAGTAAAATTTAGAAAGTGTGTGTACACTGCAATCTTTCTTATCAGTTTGTTTGTTAATAAAATTTGTCTATTGATACGTTATGTTCTGATTTTTTTTTCTTCATTAGTCAAAAAAATATGCCAAGAATTAAATTAATAGTTTTAATGCCACCATATAAATTTCCATTAATACACTTTTGAATCTACTCAAATATATTAGAAATTTAATTTAGAGTGTGATTGATGGGATCTAGAGCCCGCTTAATATGGTTGGCCACGGGGGTACCCATCTCCCCAAGGTTGAGGGCGAATAACCTTCCCTTGACCCTTCCAAAATATTTTGTTTTCTCCTCTACTTAAAAACAGTGCAAGCGAAAGTAGAATTTAAAAAAATCGTAGGTTATATATAATTACACATCCTGGAGACTGTTCCATATTTCTTGATTAGAAGCTTAAATTTCGAATGTTCACTACTCCGTTGAAATGAGCTCTCCTCAAAAATTTTTATTATGAAACCCCCTTCTGGGCACCACTTTCTCCGTAAGTACACGAAAAAGAAGATAGGGGTTGAAAAAATATTTTTAAAAAATGGAACAAGCTATGGTGAAAACTTGATTTCTGTTTTCATTTTGAACAATTGTAGCTCGTTCCACAATTTCGACAGATTGATAAAATGTTATTTCGCAAATCCCAAAGCAAGGAGCAGCTGTTAACTTTTGATTACCAAAAAAACCCTAAAGGAGCTCATACAGGGTATCTGAATCCGTATAGGGTTTGTAAATACACTGCCGGGCAACGCACGGTGCTGTTACGGCACACCCATTAGCCCGTTCAGCCAGCCCGCCTCTATATGTAACAATCTATATAACTTGAATTATTATAAATTCATACTGCCAATACCTGGCCCTGGTACCATGGGTATGGGAATAGAATTCTGCCTCCTCCCCCCCTCTAACTTGTGGAGGACCATAATAAGCCTAGTCTCAGTTTTACCTCTTCAGCCTGCTGAAATTGTTCGCTAATCTCGGACATCGTGTGGAGTTTGACTGAACCAAAGAAGAGAAGAGAACAGCATAGAGAAGTGCCATCATTGTTTGTTGAATTAAACCAAATTAAATTCTACGGTTCAGAAATGTTTCAGTACCCATATATTACTAAATTTTAAAGTTTCATGAAGTGAAAGGCCATAGGCGAAGAATACGGGTGGCGATTGTCCACTCCCCTACTATAAAAATGTTGAGGGAGCGAAAATATTGTTGTTGTTTATGATTAATTCACCTCTCATGTGAACACCTCAATTTTCGCGTGATTTTCAAATAAATTTTCTGCGATAAAGTTGGAAAAAATATATTTAATAACTACTGATAATTATAAATATATTTTTTACAGAACGTTTTTATTTACATAACATTAAATAGGCATTTTAACATAACTACTTAGTCTGTGAAAACATTGTATTTTTATTTTAACGTTGTGTAAACTAAGAAATCAACAATATTTTTCTGTTTTTAACATTATTTATTTTTAGCTCGAAATGTACCTATGCTATGAAGGTTGTCCCCTGTTCGATTCACAATAATTATATTGAGTTTTTACACAGAATATAAACTACCGCCATTTCTTTCTTTTTGCTGGTCCGCCCCCCCCCCTTAATCAAAATCGAAATTCAACACCTATGTAAAAGACATTTTTTTTTTTTTTTTTATGAAAATATTCTTTAACTTTACAAGGGAAAACAAGGAGAAATAAGGCATACAAACGAGACCGTCAAGATATTCTTGCTTATCTCACACTTCAAACTTTTTAATATTCCTGATCAACTCAGTAGAACTAATTGAATTAAGTACAACAAAATATGACTTACCAATAGGAGAAATAATCCTGATTAACATTAAGACACCACTACCACTGGCCACCATCCGTCTCAAACTAAGACGTTATCAATGTCAACATAAACTGCCGGCAGAATTAGTCGACCACGCTGCAAAGTTAGTAAACACCCTTCCTTGGAATATACATGGGTTTAAGGATTTTTTTTTTTTTTTTACTGGGCCATATTTATTTTTGTGATTGATATTTTTGAGATCTAAGCTAAATACTTAATAAAAAAGAAACAATCACAATATATACGATATTTGTTTAAAAACATATTTACGAGCAAGAATGACCTAATATTATTGTTTAGAGAGCACATTTGGAAAAAAATCGAAAAATGGTCGGTGTGTGTATCAACAGATTAGTTCGAAAACTAAAAGTTATACGTAACCGAAATTACGCGTTTAAGAAAATAATATGCCTCGGTGTTACAGCACTTTTTTTTTTTTTTTTTTGCCAAAAAGGACCAACCAGAAGTGTTACGTTATATCATCGAATTTACAATTTTCTCAAAATAAGCTAAAAGTGATCACAGGGACCCTCAGTCATTCTACGGTGAAAAAAAAAAATACTAAACAATTATTTTGGGGAGCAAACATCAATTAAAAAAAATATACATAATATGACAGACTGATCTACGAGGAGGGAGCTTTCGAGCTGAACCCCCCTCCCCCTCCCAAAATGGTAAAATATAACCATGTCTTATGAAAAAAATATTAAAGGACAATCTCTAAAAGTAATATTACTTGTTTAATTACATTTAATAGGATTTCAAGAATCTCTAATACACCATTTCACATAGTTTCTTTCTTTCTTTTCCGAAGTAATTATCCGAACTTATATCTCTATTAATTAAGAATTAAAAGAGAATAAGTTCAAGCAAATTACAAAGACGGGGCCAAGGCACATTGATATGCCTCTAGCTTGATCCACGGGCGGATCTACGGGGGGGGGGCTTTCGGGCTGAAGCCCCCCTCCCCCCCAAAATGGAAAAATATAACCATGTTTTATGGGGAAAAAAATTTAAAAAATACCTCTTAAAGTATTATTGTTCGTGTAATTACATTTAAAAGTACTTAAGGAATAACTTAAACACCATTTTATATAGGTAGTTAGTTTCTTTCTGTTTTTCCAAAGTAATCATCGTTATTTTTATGAAAAAAAAAAGGTTTCGGGCTGAAGCCCCCCCAAAATTAAATCCTGGATTCGCTACTGGCTTGGTCAATAGACTGAGAAAAGAAACGAACCTCTAGACATCAATAGAAAAGCAGTAACTGGATATCAGGATAAGCATTCCTACCCACAAACGCCCTCATACAAATAAAATTAGAACATTATCATAATCATAAAAATTAAGCACAAGATTCATCCACTTCCATTCCCTCTGACATAAGAAAGTGGGTATGCATAGGAGTAACTACTGCACCCAATGATGCAATGGAAGCAAAATCAGAACTTGAACCTTTGTATTGCCGGCGAGAGGTCAGATAGTATGAAGATGGCTACAGTGGACCACACACTCAGGCAATAACTATAACCCAAGAACCTTATTTTAAGAACGGCGTCACTACTTCGAATTATTGGGCAGAGCAAGAAACTATCTATCTGTGAGGCATCGAAACTGATAAGGATACTAATGAGACCTGAAAACTCAAAATTGTGTTCCTTACTGATGCAGCGTCAGTGTTATAATCACTCAGGTCGAAGTGGAGCAAAAGCCTTCAAAACCCGCCAAAGATCTTGAAGACTTGACATCTTTTCACAAGAAAGTTGTCCTCCAATGGATCCCTGGACATTTCGGCCTCTCTGGAAACGAAAGGACAGACTAGCTGACAAAGGACGGGGCCTTGAGTCTGCAGTTTGGCTGTAAGATCAGCCTAGAAGAGGTTAAAACCATTAATAAAACTAATATTAACCAATGTTGGCCCAGAAGTCATCCACCTCACGATCCTAGATATAGATGCTATCTGCGGACTGAATCGACGACAGCAGGTCTTAATCTTTCGCTTGCGAACCGGGCACAACAGACTCAAAGCACACCTATTCAGTAAGTTCAAAATTGGCTCTAGTCCCCTCTGCGAATGCGGTGAGGGTGAAAAGAATGCGGAATATATATTGCAAATATGCAGGATCTATTCCAAACAAAGGAGAGTGATCTAGTCCTCTCCAACTGAAGTGGAAAGAAAGCTATATGGAAGCCTGTAGAACCTCAGGACCATCGAATTCTTCATTTTAGTTCCTGACTTAACCATATAGGAAGAATGCAGATGACCGTAAAACAAAGTATATATTGTAATGATTCTCTTTCCTTCAGGTCCTCAAGACAATTTAATGGAATCAGAGATACCAGATACCAATGGCTAACTGAGGATCTTTTTTTTTTTTTTGTTCTCCCCTTCCTCTCCTTTCGGCTATACAGTTATCCCAGGGTAGGGGAGAGAGTGGAGGATTAATGCCAGAGTTAAAAGCATTTGCCTCTGGGACGCGAACTTGGAATGATTTTATAATGTAAATCTTTAGTTTATTAGATAATCAGGCACCCTACTCCCCATTGAGGATCATAGCGCACGAAAAAAATTAGACAAAATTTGTGTGTTCACTTATTGCCCAGCTTCAACCGATCCCCTTGCAACTGGCTGAGGGTATCGTAAATAATAAAAGGCCTGTTATAGAGTAAATTTCCTTTGGACAGATACACCACAAATTGGACAAGGAAATAATAGCGGTTTGAGAAGTTGCTAAGGAACTACTAACAAGGGGAAGTTACGGACGTGGGGTCACCGATTTCAACGAAACTTTTTTTGGCGATACTGGGTAGAAAAATATTTGACACATGCCCAAAGGTTCTTGTCAAAGCGCCCTAGGAGCCGAGAACAAATATTTATAAAATTTTGTAATATAAATATTTAATTCAAAAGAATTCACAACAGACCAAGGAATCAAACAGGGATGCAGCCTTAGTCCCCTCTTGTTTATACTAGTGCTGGACTCTCCCTTAAAACAAGCAAAACAGAAAATGAGGCCATACAACCTCGGATATAGGAACCTACAGAGCGTCCAGTATACAGTGCTTGCTTTTGCTGACGTTATGGTGGTGTTCGGAAATGACCGCCGTAATCTGCAGTTTAACCTCAAGATCCTTCAAGCTGAGATGAGAAATATAAACATGGAAATTAACATCTCGAAAACAAAATTCATGAGGATCAGGAGAAGAAGGGACCGGGGAGACCGGATCGTTCGGCTGTGTGGAATCCGTCTGGAAGAAGTTAAGGATTTTAAATACCTGGGCACTCACCTTAACGAGTTCGGATGGATGGATGGAGAAATTAAAGAGAGAATTAAGACGGCAGGAAGATGCTTTTACTCCCTCAAGTCAGGCTTCTTGGACAAAAAGGAAATCTCAAAGACCACTAAGAAAATTGTCTTTAAGAACACTTTCCTCCCTATATTGATGTATGCAAGCGAGTCTTGGACCCTCACTGCCAAGCACAAAAGCCAAATCCAAGCTATGGAAATGCGCTATCTAAGGAAAATAGAGGGGAAAACGAGAAGAGATCGCGTTAGGAATGTGACCATACGAGGTAATCTGGACCTGAGGCCTGCAGAGGAGATAATCCAAGAAAACCAACTTAGGTGGTTTGGACATATCTCGCGAATGGCTGAAAACAGAATTGCCAGGGCTACCTACGAGGTCAAAGTGGAGGGAAGGAGGACACAGGGAAGACCAAGAAAAAGATGGGAAGGAGTTAAAGAAGCCTTTGACAGGAGAGGAATGGATTGGAGTAGGAGAAGACACCTGGCACAGGATAGAGATTCGTGGATCAGGCTCTATAAGAAGGAACCTCACACTGCTCAGCGGTAACAGAGGACTGGATTAAGAAAGAAAGAAATATTTAATGAATTTGCTCTGCATGGATTTATTAAGTTATTACATATCTATCGATTTGTTTTTTTATTTAAAATAAGAAAACAATATTGCTAATTGTGTTAAACGAATGCTAATGTACAATAAAATACAACAACCCAAAGACGCTTCTAGTAAAGTAGGCCAAGTAAATTTATGTTATAAAAAAAAATGAAAAACTTTTAGACACAAGTTTGTTTCTGAATAAAAAAATATAAATTTTTGGACTAAATTTTCTGGGAGGATTTTTTTTTTTCATGCCACTTAATGAAATATTCATAACTCCTTAGGAAGTTATCTTAAGTCAACTTTACTGCAACCGTTGGAAAGCTAAATTATTATTCTTTAAAACCATATCAATGACATTCAGATTTTACATTTTTATAAGAAATAAATAAATAAATTAAAACTCCCCAAATGTTTTAATATTTTATCTCCAAGCATAATTTATTTATGGGCGTCTGGTTTGTGCCATTTCGCGTAATATTATAGGGCCCTAAATGTAAGCTAATTTTCGTGTGAATAAGAGCATCCATGTCCAAGTTAACTTTCATAACTTTTGTGATTTTCGGAAAATAGTCGAAGCCTAGGCGGAAATTTTGATCAACAAATTTTTATTTTTCGATTTGTATGAAATGTCCTATTTAAGAATTTTTCGAGGTACGAAATACTAATCTCAACTTTGTTTCTCATTAAAAACAAAATTTGAACTCACTTTACTTCTTAGGTCAATAATAATTGTTTCAATACTGTACTTATTCTATAGCTGTATGCCAAATATATATATATATATTTTTCTAAACGGACGGGTATCGAATGTAAGATTGTAAGACAAAATCTGGTATTTTATAGAGATTCAATCCAAAGATAAGAACAACGCAAGTATTGTACATATTATACAGTGAAATATATTTTTTTTGAGATAAGCAAAGATGATATTCGTTTTTAGCACCTCTAAAAACGCTTAAATAAGAATTTTCATTGCAATTAGGGAAAGATGCTTTAATAGATAGAAGTATACCATTCCAAGATCTTGATTTTGGATGACAGAATGGTGGTGTTGCCAGGAAGGTATCAGCATGGAAAAGGATATCTGCGGTAAAGGGAATGACAGACCCAAGACACTATCTTGACGAAGACCAGTATCAACTAAAAGAAATTTGGAAAATTCAGTGTCACAGTAAACTTGAAAGTAGTGATCACTGAAGTAGGAATGCAGGAGCAAGTATGAAGTTCAGAATTCTTCCATACAATTGCATATTTTACACTGAACCAAAATAAAATAATTTGAGTGGTTGTGCAGTAAAAACAAGCGGATAACATTTTAAAAAATTAGCAAAGGTGATCATGTCAGAGCTGAAAAGAGAAATCGAATATTACATGTAAAATTTTAGAAACTATTTCTAAAAAAATATATGAAATTTGGCAAATCACTCAATTACGAGGTTACTACAAAATTTATTTTAAGTATTGCTTTTCTTAGAAAGTTAATTTCACAAATGAAGTGTCAATTATAGAACAAGTTTTTTATTATCATCGCAAGCCATGGCAATCACGGTACTTAGTGGAAGTCTTAATGTGGACCATAGAATACAAAGTTTGGAGACCCCTGGTCTAGTATAGCAATTTTGTGTTGTTTCAGTAAGAAATTGAAAATAGTCATACATTTTTATTTCAAGTGAGTTTCAATTACACTTAGTTTTATTATTGAGACATAAAAATTTCATTAAAATTGTTAAATGATTTTTTCTGACATATCTCACTAAAGGATACTCTAAAAAGAGACAATTAAGATGGTTTTGATACTTAAATAGAATGAATGAGGATAATAACCTAAATGAGATTATGTAGGCAGCAGACAGGAAACCACCAACAGGAAGAACTAGGCAATCGTAGATGGACTATATCTTTAAGACAGAACAAAAAAGAGGCCTGCAACTAAATGGCATAAAGACTCCAGCACAGAATTGCAAGATCTGGGATGGATGGTTCCAGGCACCTCCATGCTTTCTTAACCTTATGGTATCAATTCTCGAAGGCGTAGTTAACATGGTGCAACTTTTTTCCATACATACATCAGATACTTGTTTCAAAGTTGAGTGGATCAGTAATGCCAAACAACTCATAATAGATATATCACCATTTTCCCGAATCAGTAATAATTTCGACACTCTTTAGGCCAACTTAGCCACAGTGTGATATAACAATAACAAAAAAGAAATTCTATGACAATCATAATTTGAACTAATGAGTCATTAATAATTGAAAGAACATAAAATCATTCTCCAAGAAACACAAGCATCTTCTAATAGTCCGGGGTACAGACCACCTTTTATCAAATTATTAACATCCGGCTGAAACTTCGTAAATAGCTTCATCTCATCGTAACCTACAAATATTTTATTTACGAAAATTCTCAGAATTGGGGCGTTTTCAATCTGGAGGTCGGCAAACTTTATCTATTTAATTAGGTACTAAAAACTCGTAAATACCCATTTGCTTTCCACTTGGATCGTAAGATAATTTGATCACAAAATCGATAAAAAATGTGGTCTACAAAAATATTGGGCCGTTTGGCCTACATAACCTCGTTATTTTGACAATTTGGGGGTGTAGGTCACGCCAAACGGCTCAATATATTTGAAGGCCATCTTTTTCAACAACTTTGTGTGGAAGTTATCTTACGATTAAATTGAAAAGCAAATGGGTATTGACAATTTTTAGTCCCTAATTAAATACACAAAGTTTGCCAACCTCCAGATTGAAAACGCCCCAATTCCAAGAATTTTCTTAAATAAAATATTTGTAGGATAAAAATATAATGGAAAGCAATAAAAAATGATGAAATAATCAATATTACAGTATCGTGTACTACTTAGAAAAGGAATGGAGATTAAACAGATCTGGTGCAGGACACGCATCACACAACTTTCACTTACCACCCTCTTCTTAGCAGAAATAAGTATTTTCAAACAAAGGGGAAGTGAAAGTAAAAATTATAGACGCTATATTTATTTATATTTCATTGTGGGTATTTTTATTTGTATAAGTACCCTTATATATACAAATTTTAATATTTATATCGCTGTAATCTATACAATTAAATATTAAATAATACCAACAATAGCATTTATGAAAACCACATATGTATATTTATATAATATTGTCGGAGTCTGTATTATATTAAGCTCATGTTAAGTATGGAAGCGTGTTCTAATCTTTCGGGCGAGCTCGTTTTCCTTTGGTTCCTTAATCACAACTATTCTCCGTTGCGATGTCTTATTTCTTCTTTAGTTAATTATCAAATTCTTTCATATTTTATATTTAGCAATCATTTATATTAGAGATTAATGTGAAATGGTCAATTGTTTCAAATAAAAAAAAATTAAAGGTACTTTAGAGAAAGCTAATATTGAAAATTAGCCATTTAAGCCCTGTTAGAGATCATCAATCAGAATAAAACTACATTTTATTTAAAACTGCTTAATTTTACACTGATATAATGAATTTAATCAAAATCGTTAGAGCTGTTTTCGAGAAAATCGTAAAAATGTGTTTAGTCCATTATATAAAGTGCCACTTCCGGTTAGCCGATTTTGACAAAAAAAGTTGCTGTAACATCCCTAGCATATAAAAACCTTAAATATGCAATTTCACTTCGTACGACATTTCGTTTTTGAGCAAGACTGTTAACACACATACACACACAGAACATTTTGCGGGACTTGGTTATTTGGTGGGCTCAGGAGACCTCAAAATGTGTATTTCCGTTGAAAACTGAGATTCAAAAATGTTCACGATCGCAATACTTTCCTTTACTATATATTTCATATATAAGTAAGTGAAAGTAAAAAAAAACACAATAGTTACTTGTTTCATTCTTTATTTTCGTCTGGGTCAATACAAAATGCATTCCATGAAACTTTAACCAGGGACTTAAATTTAATCAAAAAGACCAAATCCCATGTCATCATCAGATTCGTCAGCTTCCTCCTTCACTTCTTCTTTTTTGGCAGCAGCAACTGGGGCAGCAGTCTCAGCAACAACATGAGCAGCAGCAGTAACAAATTTTGATGGGTCCTAATAATTTAAATTTTTTATAAGTTGCAATCGATAGATCAGGAAATGTAACACAAACAAAATTTTAAAGCAATAATTTTTAAAGATGTAAACAACTTTTTTACTGACCTTCAAATATTCTTTGATTTTCTGGGCCTCTTTAAATTCAACATCAGTTACAGCAGCAACAGCGAAAAGATTTCTTAAACCATTTGCTATGCTGTGAGGAGCAGAAGCGATAGTTGGATAACTGATTTCAAGACAGACAGAAGCTAATCTAGCCACACCCTGAAATCAAATGCAAAAAAAATAAAAGCAATGCATTTTAAAACTAACAATCAATGTACCTAAATGTTAAGATATTAAATTACTATTATGTAATTAAGGAAACTGCAAAATTAACTAGTGAAAAATACTCGGCCAAAAAATATAAATTATTTATTATATATAACAACTTTAACTTTAAGGTCGTATTTTTTTAATCTAAGAGTTAAATGGATAGGACCAGTGTTGGGAAAAAATTATCTATAGCTAACAGATAACAGATAACAGCTAAATTAGCTATTAGCGGGCAGATAATTCTGCAACTAAATTAGCTATTAGCGGGACCAAGGCGCTAACTTTTAGCGTAAGTTAACTTTTAGCTGTTCTTACCGCTAACCGCTAATTATCTTTATCTGTATCTTCAACTAAAAACTAATAGCTAATACTTCGGATTTCATTGGTCTTAGAGTAGACTATGACGTTTTGGGGGCGCTTTTTATGAAAATAATGTCAGATTTTAGGTGTGACCCTCTCCAACCCTCCCCCCCCCCCCCCCGGGCACCGACTTTTTGTAACTTTTCTGATTTAATCGATATCAGGGCCGACTAGTAGGTTTTGGAGAGCGCTTTTTATGAAAATAATGTCGGATTTTAGGTGTGACCCCCTCAACCCCGCCCCTCCCCCCGGGCACCGACTTATCGTAACTTTTCTGATTTTATCGATATATGGTTCGATTATTAGGTTTTGGGGGGCGCTTTTTATGAAAATAATGTCGGATTTTAGGTGTGACCCCCTCCTCCCCCCCGTGTACCGACTTATCGTAACTTTTCTGATTTTATCGAAATATGTGTCGACTATTAGGTTTTGGGGGGCGCTTTTTATGAAAATTTTGTCAGATTTTAGGTGTGACCCCTCCTCTCCCCCCCCCCCCGGGCACCGACTTATCGTAACTTTTCTGATTTAATCGATATCAGGGCCGACTATTAAGTTTTGGGAGGCGCTTTTTATGAAAATAATGTCGGATTTTAGGTGTGACCTCTCCCCCCCCCCGGGCACCGACTTTTTGTAACTTTTCTGATTTAATCGATATCAGGGCCGACTATTAGGTTTTGGGGGGCGCTCTTTATGAAAAATTAGGTGTGACCCTCCTCCCCCCCCCCCCCGGGCACTGACTTTTTGTAACTTTCCTGATTTAATCGATATTAGGGTCTACTCTTATGTTTTCGGGGGCGCTTTTTATGAAAATGATATCGAATTTGAGAATGGGGCCCCCGGGCTTCTACTTTTTAAAACTTTTTTGATTAAATCGATATCAGGGTCAACTCTTACGTTTTGGAGGGCCCTTTTTATGAAAATTATATCAAATTTGATATTGGGCTCCCCGGACCTCGTTTTTTTTAAACTTTTTTGATTAAATCGATATCAGGGTCGACTATTATGTTTTGGAATTCCCTTTTTATGAAAATATATTAAATTTGAGGTTGGGCCCCCCGGGCCTCGTTTTTTTTTTACTTTTTTGATTAAATCGATACCAGGGCCGACTGTTATGTTTTGGGGGGCGATTTTCATGAAAATGATATCGAATATGAGATTGGGCCCCCGGACCTCGACTTTTTAAAAACTTTTTGGATTAAATCAATATATGGGTCGACTATTAGGTTTTCGGTGACGTTTTTTATGAAAATAATGTCGGATTTTAGATAGTGCCCCCGGGCACTGACTTTTTGTATCTTTTCTGATTAAATTGATATATGGGTTCGATATAATCCGAAATGTTACAATAAGTCGGGCCCCGGGCACTATCTCAAATCCAACATCATTCCCATAAAAAGCGGTCCCCAAAACCTAATAATTGACTCTAATATCGCTTAAATCTGAAATGTTACAAAAAGTCGGAGCCCGGGGGCACTATCTCAAAATTCTTGAAAATGATTCGTATTCCGATATCATTTTCATAAAAAGCACCCCCCAAAACCTAATAATCGACCCATATATCGATAAAATCAGAAAAGTTACGATAAGTCGGTGCCCGGGGGGGTGGGGGAGGTTGAGGGGTCACACCTAAAATCCATCATTATTATCATAAAAAGCGCCCCCCAAAACCTAATAGTCGACGCATATATCTATAAAATCAGAAAAAATACGATAAGTCGGTGCCCGGGGATGGGAGGGGGAGAGGTCACACCTAAAATCCGAAGTTATTTTAATAAAAAGCGCCTCCCAAAACCTAATAGTCGGCCCTGATATCGATTAAATCAGAAAAGTTACAAAAAGTCGGCGCCCCGGGGGGAGGAGGGGGGGGGAGGGAAGCCGTATCTAAAATCTGACAATATTTTTATAATAAGTGCCCCCTAAAATCTAATAGTCGACCCATATATCGATTAAATCAGAAAAGTTACAAAAAGTCGGTGCCCGGGGAGGGGGAACGTATCTAAAATCCGACAATATTTTTATAATAAACACTCCCTAATATCTAATAGTCGAACCATATATCAATTAAATCAGAAAAGTTACAAAAAGTCGGTGCGCGGGGCAATTTTCATAAAAAGCGCCCCTGATTACATAACAGTCGATCCTAATATCAATTAATAAAATGAAATAAATAAAATTTCTTCTAGTGTTAGCGTTTAGTTAGCTTTTAGTTAAGTTAATAGATAATTTAGCTTAAGCTAAAAGTTAGCGGTTCGTTTCCGCTAATAGCTAATTTAGCGCTAAAGTTATCTGCACTAAAACAGTTAGAAGCTAAATTAGCTTAATATTTAGCGCCGCTAATTTTAGCTTTTTAGCGGTACGTTAGCTAGTTAAAAATTAGCGCGCCAACGCCCAACTCTGGATAGGACCTAGCCTATTTTGCCAACAAATATTCCTTAATTTGAATAAATAAATTATTAATGATTAGTCAGATTACCTTATACACAAGCAATAATGATTTAGAAAAATGGAATAAGCTGAATAAGTATCAAGACTTGAAATATTAACAACACATAAACAGGGTAGGGGGTAGTGTTGCCCAAACAAGGTCTTAGGTCAACAAACCTTGGTATTGGTCTTGGTCTTGCGCAAGAGTCTTGCAGTTAACTATCAGCTTATTGCTATTTATTAAATATGCTACTTTAAAACTTAGAAAAACGCTACAAAATAAGTAAATATAGATGTTTTATTGACATAAACATTGTGAAGTACAACTAAATCAATAAAATTAAGAATAAAGAAAGATAATGATCAACCTCCTCCTACTATATGGAGTGAAGAGTTGTAGAGTAAAGACAATTTATATATTGTTCCCAATGATTTTAATTAAAAATCTATTGTGTCACTTACAAGACTTTCCTATATATTTAAAAAAAAAATACAACTTTAAATGTGTCCATTAGAAAAAAACACAATTGAAATAGATTCATTTTCCTAAAAACTGATCAAAGAAATCATTAGGGTAGGATTCGTTGGATGAAACAAGCAATGTAAACGGGCAAGTGAACCACCATTAAAATCAACGTATAAAAAACAATACTATAACAGCTAAAACTGGTCCGATTCAGTTGATTATTTTGTCTAGAATTTTGTCAGAAATTTAATGAATTTTCAACAAATAGGCTTCAAAACAGGCTCAGAGACGTTTAGATCCGTTGAAAATCGATAGGTGTATACGTGGTGAGTTAGCTCCCCAAAACAATTTTCTTTTCTTGAATTGTCTCGAAAATTCACTAAAAATACGAAAATTTAAAAGACTTTAAGTAGAAAATTAGAAGAAAGTTTCATTAAAATTGTTACAGCCATATAATGTTAATTTGAAACTTCATAAAGCATAAATACATATGTTCATACAATTAATTGATTAATGTTTTAAGCACATATGTTAGATTCACACATAAAAGCATTCATTAGTAGTTTAGGTACTTAGGGGTTATTATTTTGGACACTTAGAGATTATGAACAAGCTCCACGAGCCCTTCACGTTCTTTAGTTTTCTATTTAGATGTTGATTAAAAAGTTTCTCCATAATGAACTGCACACAGTGGTACCAAATGGATATAACACTTCTTATGTTCTTCTTTGGACTAAAGCTACCAATACCTAATCAGGACTAAGCTATCCACGGCCAGATTTTCTTGTTGTTGAATTATATGTTTTTGAATTTAATTAAGTTATTGAAAAATATGCACAATATAGCCTTAATTTGGCTAACCAATAATTTCAGTTTTCACAGAATTATTATAAAAATCTTTGTTAATGTCCACTAAAATGCTTTTAGAGGATAGAAATACGAAAAACACAACATTTATTTTATTCATCAGGAACCATTTCACATTTTAGATAATTTTGGAAGTTCCATGGTAATTATGTGCATTCCCTCCACTGCAAATTTTTAGATTCCATCCATTCTTTGAAACTTGTTCGAAAACCTTCATTGAGATGTCTAAATCAATAATTAACAAACAATAGTTGCCACCGTTGACTTGAGGCCCTTTGCAAATATTTGTCGACATTTCTCAATAACTATTACTCGGAGATAAATTTAAATTATTAATTATATAATTAAATTATTAGTAAATAATAATAACTATTGTGGCCAGAATAACATTAAATGTTAATAATACTGTGCCATAAGTTATATATCAAATAAAATACAAACGGAAGGATAAAAATTCAGTAGGATGTACAGTAAAAAAATTTTCAAATATAAGAATGAAGAACTATAAGAAAAATAAAGAACAATTCATAGACAAGAATTAACAGGTACGAGTCAACAAAAGCGTTTAAAAAATGAGCTAAGATAAAATAATTTGATACTGAATTTTAAAGTACTGAATCCTGTTTCATGTACAAGTATAAAAAAATATATATATATTATTTTGTTCCCGGAAAGTCTAATAATGTTGACATTTTCTGAAATTTACAATAAAAAAATCTACTAGTTTTCGAGAAACTAGTTTTTCAGCAGAATGGATTAAACTTCAAATTTATTAAGATAAAAAAACATAAATGATAATATCGTATTTGAAATAAATATATAAAGTATTTAA